TAATTGATGTTATTTGATACTTTGATGTTTATACTCAGGTATATCAGAGACGTAGTTGATCATTACTGCTGCACATGTCATATTTCACAATTACAGGATTTTCATATAACAAGAAAATCACATATACAAGTGTAGACTGGTACAAGTTACAGCTACAGGCACACATGAAGCATGCCTGAGTTTGTCAGTGACAGATTCTCCCACCCACACATTTGTGTACATTAAAGTTATATACCCCCAGCTATTTCTTATTAGTGCATGGTAATCCCATCTTTAAATCTTCTACAAAACAACAACCAATGCAGACTTTGTGCAGGTGTACATTTAATGTGATCGGTACAAAAAGCCATTCTATATAGCTGGTTTGGCATCTGGGTTAGAAGACTGCTGCAGCTTAACCTCGATTTTCCCTGCAGCAGACTATAACTCAGTGCAGCACATAAGGGAAAACCTCATATTTGCCAAGTCTAGACACAGTAGTTTAAGGACGTAGCAGTAACTTTTCATCTTAATATCAAGAAACACTTCCCCTATTACCCATAATGTGACATATTTCAAAAAGAGACGGCATTCATACATAAAAAACATATACAGCACTTCATCAAAACCTTATATTATGTCTTATGTTTGTGTTACATTGATCACAACCACCTCATTTTTAATTAATCTTCCCTAACATGAAGGTAAGTGTGACCACTGAAGAAAAAACAGATTTTTGAAACAAACTGGCATTTTGAGACTTGGGGAACAGATTGCTGAAGAGAAAAAAACTTCAGGAACAAGGAAAAGATGCTCCACTTTCTGCTCTGCTTATTTTGGATCATCCAGAAAGTGCTGTGATTTACTGTACAAAAGTTGAGAATAAATTGTCTCTACAGGACCTCTGAGAAAGATGCCAAGCACACAGTGCCCACTGAGCCACTGTCACGAGTCTCCAGCAAAAGGAACCAAGGCCATATAAACCACGTAGGAACTAATATCCTGGGGGAAGAAAATAAGTTGTTCTGTCTTACTATTGAAAAAAAAATCCACCTTAACACAGAATTGGAAAGGTTTTATAAAATTCCATCAATGTGTCACGGTACTAACACAACCTCAGCAAACGGAACAATGAATCAAACCTTTTGGGATGTATTTTATGCAAGATAGTATGAACTGCCATTTATCATGAGCAGGAGCCTGTTTTTGTTTAACAAAGCTTAGGTAATAGACAACTTCCAGCTGCCATTTGCACACGTAAAGGAATGGATAAAGTGACCCTGAAATCACCAGATATCCTTGGCTGAAGCTGCTCTACTCAGCACGAGTCCTACCTTGAAGTGTCCTACCTGGGTGAGTGATGTCATAACAGGTATAGTTCCTCAGCTGACAAAGGCAAACGTTTTGTGTTTCATCGCCAACCCGGGCGTGGTCAGAAGTGAATCACGCATTAAAGTTGCACCCACAAAGAACAGTGCAGCAATAGTTCTCTGCAGTTTCAAGATGTTCTGTAGCCAACAAGTAGAGGGCGGTAGAGAGCCCGATCGTCCCAGGTATCAGTACAAAGAAACTTCTAGGTGGTCCCCTGTCACTAATAATGTACAGGACATAGTAATAGTCTCATGAGCTATGAAGATCCAGATAGAGCTTGGCTACAGCAGTTAAATAATGCTGCTCTCACCCACAGTTTATTGCTGAATGTAATAGTGATGGGTAAGAGATCACAGTGGGCACCTTTCATCATATTTTTCCTGGATGCTGGCCAATGAGACCTATAGTGAGCTAAATACAAGGCAGCTAATGGCAACTCATCTCCATTTTCATGTCAACAGTGAACAAAACCAATACTTGTACTTAGAGATTTGCACCTGAGTGACAGTGGCACACAAACTCAAGGACTTGAATCCACTCCAGAAATGGAATATGCGCCTCGGCACTAAAGGTGTGAGAAAGAAGGATCATCAGGAATACCGATAATTTGAATCATTCACTACAGCAAGCCGTGTATAACATATTAAACCGTGTAGACAATTGGATCAGGTATTCGAGAAAGTGCTTAATTATTTCTGTGTTGTTTTGAAATGTAGAATGTATTTAGAAATTGTTTGGAGAAAATAATTTAAAACGTTGACTGAATCAAAAGTTAGGAAAGAGGCATTCACGAAACATCCAGCTGCTACAGAGAACAACATGCTGAGTTCAGCACCTCTCCCGCTGTACGAGGATCGCGTGAACGCACCATGCCACTGGCAGCTAGCCTAGCCTGCTAACTTGGCTAATCTCATTTACTGTCTCGGTTTAGCGGACGTAACGTTAGACAGGATTGACAAATTGTGTGTTTCATACCTAGCGTTTAACGTAATAACTAACTAATATCAAATAGCCACTCATTTCAAGAATGGCATCGCTTGGGGAGCCTGTGCGGTTGGAAAGAGGTAACGTTAATTGACGAGCTAGCGTTAGCCTAGAAATATTTGTTGTGACACCATATAGATATCTACTGTGAGACATTAAACTAGCTTAGCTAATGCTAGCGACAAACAAATAGATCTGGTGACTGCATTTGATTGTATTAAACATGTTTTGCGGATACGTAACGTTAATGTTTATGGCTTCAATGTGTATGTCTGTATCTCCTGTATTGTTGACATCGAGCTAAAATAATTACACTTTTCTGCGGCTACGTTGTTTTTCTTTTCGTGTTAGCTAATGTTAGTGACAACCAGCAGGGATCAGTGAACCAGGCTTTTTATACGATGTTAGACGTGACGTTATGTTAACATAAAAATACGTTAAAGCCGACATTAGCACCTGCCTGTTAAAGCACTGTGATTAGAGAAAACCCAAGTTTTATTTGAACAAATCCCCACACAACAATAAACGTCTAAGTAAATATATGTGAAATAGTGTATTTCTTATTGGACAAACTGAAATGTCCAATGGGGCTATTGTTTTAATTTGAAGAAGATACAGTAGCAATTAACCGACTAAAATAACGACTTCTTTTCTCTAAATGTACGAATAGGAACAGAATGTTGGATATCGGCTTTTCTTTTTTTTTTTTTGGACACAGCAGATGACAACGTTTGCCCCTTGTCCTTTAGGGCAATTAAGTAACTTATTTAACGTAAAGTTAATAATAGGCTGGCACTGATATTTACTTAATGAAGGTGCAGTATATCATTAGTACATATCTTGTTTTTCAGTGTGATATAGTGGAAGCTGCTTTATTAAAGTGCTTTTTATTTATGGCAGGTAAACAGTGCTGTAGGCTGGGATAAGCTTCCCCACAGGAGCAAAGTATTTATAATCATAATAAAGGTAGTGCATGTTCAGTCAAAGTAAATTCAACCTTAGATCAATTAAACATATTAATTAGCAGAAAATGTATTTACATTTGAGTTAATAGTAAGTGATTTTATACATAAACCATGTGAAAACACCAAATATTTGTTAAGCTTATTCATACTTTCTTGATCTTTAGTTTTGCTGACATCAGTGAAAGCCTTGATGATGATGTATGTGTTTTTGTTGACAGACATTAACCGTGCTATTGAACTGCTTGACAAGCTGCAGAGAACGGGGGAAGTGCCTCCCCAGAAACTGCAGGCGCTGCAGAGAGTCTTGCAGAGTGAATTCTGTAATGCCGTCAGAGAAGTGAGACACTTTGTTATTCTTAAAACACTAACTGTGAGATAGCATTACTTCACACTCCCTCTTCTGTTTTCAAACTTAAGTGTCTAAGAAACAGAGTTTGATTTGATTACTTTGTGTTAACCATTTGAAAATGTGGATATTTGTTGCTGGGTTGTGATGAACTACTCTGCTGCCATGTCTCTTCAGGTTTATGAACATGTGTATGAAACAGTGGACATCAATAGCAGTCCTGAGGTCAGGGCCAACGCCACAGCTAAGGTAGACCCAAGACAAATGAGATCTATTGCACAAGAATTTGACTTGCTCAGTCTTTATTTTTTAATCATAATTAAATACCATTTGGTTTTTTAAAGGTGCTCTAGTTGAACACTTCACATTGTGTCTTGAATACAGTAAATACAGTATATTTGCAAAAGTTAAACAGCACACATTGTACAATTATAGGCCACTGTGGCAGCTTTTGCAGCAAGTGAGGGACACTCACATCCACGTGTTGTGGAACTCCCCAAGACAGAAGAGGGCCTGGGTTTCAATATAATGGGTGGAAAGGAGCAAAACTCACCTATTTACATCTCACGGATCATCCCAGGAGGCATCGCTGACCGCCATGGAGGCCTGAAAAGAGGCGACCAACTTCTCTCTGTTAACGGGGTGGTAAGCTGAATTCACACAATCATGACTTACTTGTTAAATTTTAGCATTGCATACATTTCAGTCTCATAACATCTGCACACCTACAGGTGCAAGTAATTCATGCATTTCTTCATATAGTAAAATACAATTATTAAAAAAGGCAAAACTGATGTTTTTTTTTTAACAGCTTCATTTTCTACCAGGTGATTAACACTTTACTAATTGGGGTAGATTACAGTACACAGTAGGGACAATCAAAATGGACAAATCAATAGCTTGTAAACATATAAAGAATATGATCCAGGAAGATGTTAACTTCCAGGTCTGAGCCACATGACCATGCAGACCTGAAAAGACTTTGTGCAGCTCTCAGAAGAGCTGCATCTTAAAGATATTCTCTAGAGTTTATGGCCACTGGTAGTACCATGGAACAGTTTTTTTAGGAGTTAATATTTGTCAGTGAGGACAGAAGCATGCACTCATGCACGTAGGTGGCACAAACTGCCAACAAAGGCAAAGGAGAGGCAGACAGATTTGCATGTAAACAGTGTAGGTTTCAAGTTCTTCCCAAAATTGGCTCTGAAAATGTTTTTTTGAGAAAAGAATGGCATTCATCACCTTTTTTAGGTTTTGGTGGGAAATGGGAGCTGTATACACATTTATGTTTTTTGTTTGTTCATTTAAAAAAAAAAAAACTCCACAAGCTGTCTGTAAGGCTCTTCCACATTAACTACAGCAATCAGCAGTTCTGCTCCTTGGGTTAATTCCAAGACCAGACAGTCGTCCAGTTGACTTTGTTTATTGCTCAGATTGTTCTCTTATTAAAATGTCCAAATTATCAACTTTTATATGATACTGAAAGTTATACCAGGCTAATGTTGGCACTACAGTATGCTTACTCCACTACCTATAAAATACTGGGGCCACTGTGTCCTACAAAGGTACTACATACCTTGTTGATCTTGTGCATAACAGTTGCCCACAACATGCTTTTTGGATTAAACAACTATAAAATTATAGAAAGTTGTTATTCTGCTTTGTGGTACATCTCTTGTGTTTTTTTTTTCTCCTCCCAGAGTGTGGAAGGTGAGCACCATGAGAAAGCTGTGGAACTCCTCAAAGCAGCTCAGGGCACAGTGAAGCTGGTAGTAAGGTACACCCCCAAAGTCCTAGAGGAGATGGAGTCACGCTTCGAGAAAATGAGGTCGGCGAAGCGCCGGCAACAGAACAACTATCCCCAGTAGGATTTTTCTGTGTTGATGCCCAGCGCCCATGTCTCTCCTCCTCTAGCCTTCTGGCCATCTGTTCTGCTCTCTTTCTTCCCTCCTTGCTCAAGAAAACATCAACACACCCAGGTTTAGTTTTGGATCCCACTCACATACTTCTCTGTAGCATTTTTAATATTCACCATTGTTACTGTACAGGACAATATTACTCTAGTACTCTAGACAAACACTAGAATGATCACGATTGTCACTGTAGGCAGTCGCTCACCCGTGTGCATTATTTTTAAATTGACAATTTGAATGCAACTTTGAGACCAACTACAGAGATCCTTTGACTAGAAAGGTAGTGTAATTATTTTTTTTTATCACAGCCACTACCAAGTGCCTCAGGGCAAACACATTTATCTTATGTACTGTGTTCATGCTTATTTTTTTCTTTGTAATGGTTTAAAGTCAAATACTAGTAGTTGAATGCCTGTGGCAGGAATTACTACGGTTATTCTCAAAGATGGTTTAATTTGATAGCTTAAAAATCTTTAAAAAAAATGCAGTTTTCATTTAATGGCCATTCTACATGAATGTCTGAAATAGGGAAGGTTTTAGGAGTTCATTATAGTTATGTTTGCTATTAAAGGAACCCACTACCAGGACACAAATGTGTTAGATTATCTTTAAGGTTTTTCTTTGGGCACATCCTCCCCTTTCAAACACCACACCATTCTACAAAAAGCTCAGCACTACTGTGGGGGCTGTGGGGTTTGAGCAGCCCAGCAGCTACTCTAAATGATGTAATGGGGTCTCAGCACCTCATGAACTAAATTCCTGCCACAACAGAGACTCACATTTATTCTTTTATCAAAGTAATAAACCTTCATAGGCATAAACTCTACAGGCAGCATGAGCTTCTGATGAATCTGTCTCGACATAAATCAGGAATGTACTATATGTCGTGCTTTTGTAGCTAGATACATTATTTAATGAGAAGTAAGTTACATAACATTTGTCATTTAGCTTTGCTAAAAACTGCTTGTAGGTTTTGTTTGCATCATTTAGTGACAGAACAAGTTGAAGAAAACTAAGACTTTGATAATGTCATGTAATCTTTTCATGCCATAGTGAACGTTGATACCACACATTCTGTAGCTATATGGGCACTGTACATTCATTAAGACTTTACACAGCGTTTAAGTGGGTATGTTGGCATATTATTTGTTTTTCTACCTGTTCTTAATATTTTATTATTCCTCAATGTCTTGCAGAACAAAGTATGTCTTTACTGAAACATTCACTACTTTTGAACTTTTATATCCTGGTATCAGTGAGCGCTTCAAAGCTTAACAGTGCACATTACCAGGGTTGGGATGAGGATTAAAGGTAAAGCTGTATAGTCTTAAAATTTCAATAACTTTTAACTTTTAAGATGTTCTATTCCATTCAAAGACAAAAGTAAGCTTCTTCCCGCAGTCCAAAGGCACACAGCTTAGATTCATTGGATACTCTAAATTGCCCGTAGAAGTGAATGTGGGTGTGTGTGATTGTCTGATTGGCCCCAGGCCCCCCATGACTCTCTTCAGGGGGAACCGATATAGATGATGGATGGCGCCCATGTATTCTGTAAGTGATATACAAACTAAACATCATGCAAAAGTAAGTGTGATGACAACAACAAACATTGTTATTACTGGAAACTGTCAGACATTCACATTTATGTTTCAAAGCAACTAATGTCAATACCTGCAATATTCTCTATATGTAAGATTGGATACACATTAAACAAAGTTATTTAAAGTGTTTGCAGAATGCATGCTTAGCTATTATACTGACATCCCCCATATCATGAAGAAACATCTTATGATGTGGAATATTAATTCCGAAATTCTTTCCTAACTGAGAAGTTCAAATCTTCCTTTCACATCTACATGCAACACGTCAAACATCAAAGTGCTTTAAAGTACTTTCAGAAACAACAAAAGTATATCTTTAAAGACTTTTCTTGCTTTTAGTAGCTTTCTGTGTAGTGACTATCAGTCAGGACCCCCTCATCATGCAGTGTGTCAGTGTATGGACCAGCACATGATCCCCAGAACAAATTAAATTTCAGAGATTTATTCAGAGAAGTGTTTTGTTTACATGGTGGATGCAGTATCGTGCATTTGGGATAATATAAACTAGCTGCATAAGCCATACTACTGACCAGTGTCAGGCTCAACACATAACATACTGTAGCTGATTGAACCGATGTGACAACATTAAATACAAAAACAGTTTAGGAATGTGGGGTTGATAGCATTTTATCAACTCTAAGCCCAGGTCTGGATCCAAATCTAGATGAGTAGTTTGTTGCTGGGGAAAGATGACAACTGCCTGTTACCTCAATTGGTTCAGCAAATTGTAAATAGATCTTTCAAAGTTCATAAATACTTTATGGCATTTAAAAAAATTCTCCAAAATATGCTTGTCTGCTTTATCTCGTCATTTATTCTTTTGGTGGAATATTATCCTTAAAAACATTTCTGTACATCACTAAATGCACTGAAATGCAATCACCAAGTGCTAATATAATATGATTGGTGCAAAGTTAATGAAAAAATTGGATGTTTTTCCCAAAAGCAAGTGAGTATCAGTCAGTGTTGATATAACAATAATGATGACTTAATAACTGGAACTATAGTTTCAGTTGGTCAAAGTAAAATTGTGTCGGTGTTTCTTGCGTTTATTAGTTACAGGTGCTACATATGTCATTTTCCCCTCAGTGTCACATCAAAGTCTACTACTCTCTTAAATGTCATGTTTACTTGCAGGATTGTCTTTGCTCAAGCCAGTGGAAGGTGTCAACACCCGTTATAGTATGTTAATTTAATATCGATTTAAATGTTGCAAAAGGTTTTGTAGGTGCATTAGTGTTTAGTGGGTATGTTCCCTGTAATCCATACTTATTGCAAAAAAATACTGAATTTTGGGACAAAATAAAACAAACAGTACTGCAATAACCGAATGCAAATCATTTATCTATGCAAGGTCATTTTAAAACTTTGGAAATGTTTTGGTGCAAAACAGCTGTCATTTACCTGCAGAATGTAATTGAAATTCATAATTTGAGGCTGTTAGGGCAAATGTCTAATGTGATTTGATGTTCACCACTGCAATGAGACACATTGGAGTTGCATACTGTCCCATTTATGGTGTTTTTTTTAATTGTGCCATTCTCATATTGATCACCATCAAGTAAACAGTGAACAGTTCCTGTTCCATAGGTTACTACTTTGACCATACTTTTGTTTTGAGGCAGAACAATTAGCAGAAGAGCTGTTTAAATGTCTTACTAATATGAAAAGTTTATTCCTTCACTGCTCACACACATACACATGTAAACCAGGAAGAATTTGTAATGAGACTTTGTTATGAAATTGCGGATTCTCCATTGAACGTCACTGACCATTTTCTAACTCAGTTGCAAAATCTTATGAAGTACCCTTCAACTTTCTACCCACTTTCCTTGTCTATATAGTGGAATGGTCAATAGAGTAGTTTTTTATAATAGTTTTCTTTTTGATATTTTTCTCAATTTTTATGTGATTTTCCTAAAAATAAGTACCTGGAATGATTCGTATTTTAATTTTGGCTGTGTACCTACAGGTCATTTCAGCAAAGCCTCTCTGAAAAGCAGTTATATGAGCTTGCAGACTAAAGAGACAAGTTCTGATATATGAACTGATATTTTTTTCATTTTAGTACAAAGACCAAACTTGCAACATTTTTAAAAATTTTGATAATGTTTTGAAATGGTTTAGTCAGTGCTTGTTTAGGATTATTACTGTTAACTGTTGTGTTATTTTGTCATTTCTGGTTTGTTGTCTAGTTTAGTGTGTTACACTGATGTGTAATGTAAAATGTGTTGTAGAATATAATAATAATTGGACAGAGACTAAATAAACTACTTAAACTTGTGACTTTTCTTGTACATCTTTTATACCTAGCATCTCTTTTAGTTTGAATGGCAATAAGATAAGTTAGTTTTTATTTATATAGCCCAATTTCACAAATCATGCATTTGCCTCAAGGGGCTTTACACTCTGTACTGTATACAACATCCTCTGTGCTTAGACCCTCCAGTCGGATAAGGAAAAACCCCTGGATTCTAGAGAGTGGTGACAGTGGTGCGGTGGGTAGAGCAGTCTCCCAACCAGAAGGTTGAAGGTTCGAATCTCGGTGCCTCCAGTCGAAGTGTCCTTGGGCAAGACACTGAACCCCCCCCCGTTGCCCACTATGGTTAAGAGCCATCAGTTGAGGTGGCGTCACAGATGGCTGTCATTGGTTCTGTACCAGAAACCAATTCCTTGTGTGTAACATACTTGGCCAATAAAGGTGATTATCCTTCTACCCTGTGCATTTTGCTTTCTGAATAACTTTTGCTAACCTGAATCTTGATGGCAGAATCATGTTTATTTAGTGTTCCCTAATAAATATGACAGATAAGCCTTTTTCACAGCAGACATTTTCACTTGTCATAGCAGGAAAAGGCTCGGGCATCTGTTTCGGATGCCTCCTGGGCGCCTTCCTAGGGAGGTGTTCCGGGCATGTCCCACCGGGAGGAGGCCCCAGGGAAGACCCAGGACATGCTGGAGGGACTATGTCTCTCGACTGGCCTGGGAACGCCTTGGCATTCCCCCGGAGGAGCTGGAGGAAGTGTCTGGAGAGAGGGAAGTCTGGGCATCTTTGCTTAGACTGCTGCCCCCGTGACCCGGTCCCGGATAAGTGGAGGAAAATGGATGGATGGATAGCAGGAAAAGCAAAGGCAATAATGATAATGTTGGCTTCATTCCAGCCATTTTTGCAATGCAGCAATAGTTACTGCTATCAGTATAACAAGTCAAACTGAAAAAATACTTCAACTTCATATTTATCCTTCTGATCATGTGCAACCCGTTCCTTTATTGGTGTATATACAGTATACCCAATATAAGATGTCTGAGGGGAGCTCTGTAACAGGAGCCCAGTGGTAATACAGGGCTGGTTGCCTGGAACCAAACGCTGCACGTGACAGCGATTCATTAGGGCTGGCGGTTCACACTACAGCTTGAAACCAGAGCACAGCTGCTTGTTTCTCCTGATATGGGCCCAATCTGTTGCTGAGTCTTATGTGAGGATGGTTCACTTTGCCTTTTCTGGCAACCTAAATCAATCACACCCAGGAGCAAGCACAGCAGCAGGGGCTCAGGATAAAGCAGGAGGCCAAACTGGATCAGCAGCCAAATCAACAGCAAGGGAAGAGAAAATGATTCATGATTTTATGCAGTATAACACACATACACATTTGAATGGTTAGAAGAGAGAAACATAAATAGAGTTTGATGTGAGGCAGAATCTATAAAGATGAAAAGATATTAGCATTACATAGAGGTGAACAGAAACACCAACCTTTAATTACAAAATTATACTAAAAAATACTGAACTATTGCAAAGTGGTTGGGGCTTACAGCAGATCTTTTTCCTCATTATTGTATCAAGGCCAATTCCATACATAGATAATAATAATAATAATAATGCTGTTTGTTGTAGTTATAAACAAAACCATTATAAGCTATAAATCATTGTAAACTATGTTCAAAATTAAAATTATGCGGATGTGAATTCACAGGTCTATTTTATCTTGATAAATCACATAACTTAAGGACAAGGCGAAAGTGTGCTGGACCTTCAGTAGTTAAGAGTACGTATATGGTTGTTTACTACAAAATGTTGCAACACACACTCCGAAGCAATAGGTGTCACCTTTGCATTTTCTCAATCCACGAAGAAGAAACGAGCTTTCTTCCGTTTTTATTCGATAACGCAACTTCCTTTCCGGCCGTGCTAATCTTGGAGTGAACACGCGTTTTCCTTCTTAGCTCAAGTGAGTGTCATTTTAGATTGTTGTTAATACAAAAATCAGTTGTATAATACGTATGGAGCCACAATAAATAAATAAAAACTTATAACCCTGTTATCATATAATCTACCAAGAGCGGCATTTCAGCAATATGAGCGCCTTAGCATCGTATTGGTTTTCATTGTACTTAGCGAAATTAGCTAATGTTAACTATGCTGCCACATGCGTGTAAAACTGCATATACGTATATATAGCTGCTAGCTTTATAAATTAAAGTTCCAAAGGGTAGTTCATGTATCATTTACCGTGGTAAACAATCTCTTTAAGAACATGAGTTGCCTTCTCTCTTTTGTTTTTTGTTACATTTTGAAAAGTTTATTCCAGTAAATTTAACCCGATTTGACTGGAGAAATTGTGATGTATGCCTTCTAACATGCAGATGCTAACTCCCGTAATGTTACTCAAAAGATGCCCTGATCCAAAAGGAAACTGTAGAGAAATACTAATGAATCGGCTCAAACAGGTTGACATAAAAATCTTGGAAACTTATGGAAATTGTTGTATTGTGCGAATTATCTTGTTTGCCTAATGTTTAAATCAAAATCGATTAGGCCAGTTAAGCATAAGAAACTTTAAAGCTGTTTTGCTCTCGCAGTCACCGGAGTTGGATAAAGACAGTATATGCATTAAGAATACCAGGAATGTATCATGTTTCCAGTTGTTTGGCATTGAGAAGTTGCCTTAGAAAATAAAAAATGTATATTGAAATGCAGCCAAATCTGTACATTTGTGTCTAAATCAGCTTCTCAGTTTGAACCTGGTCATTGTTTTTGCAGGATGCGTTACGTTGCTGCTTACCTGCTTGCAGCCCTGGGGGGCAATGAAAGCCCTGATGCCAAGGACATCAAGAAGATCCTGGAAAGTGTTGGCATTGAGGCTGATGACACATGCCTGAGCAAGGTATAAAACAGCATTTTTTTCCCCCCAGGTGGTGTTGATGCAGGTTTGTCAGTGGTTCGCCATAACTTTGTGTCAGATCTGTATAACTTCATGTCTTTGTCAACAGGTCATCTCTGAGCTTCAGGGCAAGAATGTGAACGAGGTGATTGCTGCAGGTGGGTTTTGCCACTGTACATGTGTTGCTATATTTTTGTCTGTGTGTAATGAAGAATTTTATTTTAGAATTGCTTTTGTTTTGCAAAAATTGGCATGTCTGTCTCCCTACTGAAGCAGCACCAGGCAGGGATGTGATATTTAAATGCACCTTCTGAAAACAAAGCACACAAAGGTGCCTTCACAAATGATCATTCCACTGTCTGCTAATACACAGAGTAGCCCAATACATTAAATTGCAAAATCTCTGAATGGTGAAGTCCTGAAAAATGGATTTAACCATGAAATCAATTTAGACCGCACGCACAAGAAGCTGTTGATTGTTTATGCTAACATCACTGAAGTTAAATTGCCAGTTTTCTTTTTATAATGATATCCACATAGTGTTTCTGACCTCAGTCTGGCTAATGAGAGTTTTCACCCGCGCTTCATGTCTGCCAACTCACATCTCCTCAGGTTATGGTAAGCTGGCCAGCGTGCCAGCGGGCGGTGCCGTAGCTGTCGCCAGTTCTGCGGCTGCTGGCTCAGGCGGAGCTGCAGCCCCTGCTGCAGGTGAGCATTACAGCTTAGCACCTTGTTTGTCAGCATCAGTGACACCTGCCCAACATGCCTTTGCCTTCACCTTGATTACACAGCACCATATCTGTTAATATTCATTCATATATATGAGAAAGATTACAGTGAACAGTTTGTCATAACCCCAGCAGTGGTTGACATGTTTTCTAATGATGGCACAAATTATTATAGTGACCTCATAGCGGTCTGTTAAAATTCAGGATGTTTATTGAAAATAATGAAGTGCTTTTTGTTTTGCAGTTGAGGAGAAGGAAGAGAAGAAAGAAGAGTCTGAGGAGTCTGATGATGACATGGGATTTGGACTGTTTGACTAAACTTTTTCAAAAGGAGAATAAATTTTTTAAAAGACTCCAAGCAGTTTCAAGTTTTTTTTCCCCAATAGAATGTCTTTCTATTAATGTTACTTGGTTTTATAGGGTAGATGAATGGTGTTTTATAAAATAAGATGTTTATTTCCTAAGATTTTAAAAGTATGTGTGCAAGTTCATTTGACTAGACTAAGCACATTCAAGCTTTGTTATATTAGGTGTGAGATTTCCATGAACACTCAAAAGCAGTTCTGAAAGCTGACTGATTTTAATGAAGCTTAGTGTCAGTACCCTCGGCTCTAAATGTACCAGAGGACACCTACAGGTGAGCTGACTCATGAGTTATGTAATAGAGACATCTATTACGATCTGATCAGCAGGTGGCGCTGAGGAGTTTTGCACAATACACAGGCGCAAACTAGTCACTACATCCTTCATGTTGAGCACTGTGTTTAAAATAGTTTAGGTTATCCAAGAGGTTAGATATCGATCCGTGCACAGAATGTGGCCACTCTTATTGCAGTGGTTAAATGCACCGACAGATGTGCAGCTGACCTGCTGGCACGAAGGCCTTGTTACTCAATCCGCCACGTAGTGACAGGCCCGATTCTTTCCGCGTCACTAGCTCAGTTCATCCTGTGATTAATAACGTCAGACGGTCGCTTGGTAAAATGAGATGGAGAAAACATTTAACTGGGTTGGGCAATCGGCTGAGTAGCACTACGCACTAAAGATTAATATAGTTACACAACACATCGGTTGTTACTCCAGGCAAGGGTAGTTTTGCACATGGATGGTAGAGACGCGTCCCCACCAAAACGTCTGGAGGACAGGAATGTCCCTACCAATATCTGAGCAGACCCGTACGCGTTATCTTTGATGTGAAGTCATATCGGATCACGATGTGCCCTCCCTGGGGCGACATCTACAAAACAACATGCTATCATGTGACTGACTGAAAGGGAGGGGGCGGTCTGAAACCCACATATGTGCAAATGTAATATTTGCTCTCAGACATGGAGGAAGGTGGAGTTGACAATGATGTGTTACCAGGGCTGTCGGTCCATTCCTCAAGAACGGGCGAAAATTTCATCTTTCAGACGACTTATTTCCATCCCTTTACTGCCTGCACTCTACAGCACACATAATACAACTTTGTCCATGCCACATCTTGTCCTTTGTAGATGGCATTATTCCACTGAAATGATGGAGAGTTACTTTAACATTTGAATTGAGTTTGCAGGGGCTCCAGGTATTTTGTGTCTAGTTCACACTTGACTAAAGAGATACGTATATGGAACTGTTACAGTGTTGCTCCACAATGTTTTAATTTTCATGGTTTTATTGGTTTGCTCACTTGACTGATTTGTTGTATTAACTATTTTGGTGGTTAGGGCAGAGGTAGTGTGCATGGTAGTGTTGTGGCAGCTTGTTGTTGCTGGAGCTGTTTTATAATTTCTCACTGTGTCTGGGCAACCAAACTAGTTGTCCCTCCGGTTATTTTTTAGCTACTGTAACAATCAAAGCCTGATCAGACCTGTTTACTTGGCACAAAAGTTTAAACTATGGCACAGCAATTTGATCTCTGACGCTTGACTGCATTGAATAGTACTCAAATGTCTTTTAAACTGGTAAAGTGTGGTGTGTATGGTATTGTTTGTGACCCAGAATGTCACTTAATTACATCACTCAACCAGTAAATTATGTAGGCAAAGCATCCCAATAGCAGCAATGAATTTTTATACATGTCCACCCTTGTCATGTTTCAGGTGTCTCTGAGGTATTAGTAGTTGCCACAGAGAAACATTTCCACTCCAAACCTGTCACATGGTAGTCTACTCTCCAGTATGTCACAATAAAACCCTCTTCCCTACTTCAGAGGTTTGGGACAAACATCATGAGCACATGTTACTTGGATCACCATAGCAACACTAGAAAGTTTTTGTCTTATGCTGAAGGTTGTCATTTGCAATACAGTAAAACATGGTGTGCTACAAAGCCATTTCATTGCTAATAGAGAATGACTGAATTACTACAATCACACTTAAATGTATATTCTTAAAGCTGTCATTAGGATACACTATGATTACGTTGCTCTTATCCAAAAATCTAGGCTAATTTTTCAGACTCAGACTCATCTTTAATGGCCAAGTATGTTTGAACATACAAGGAATTTGACTCCAGTACAAAGGCTCTCAATGTGATTGTAAGGCAAAAGGTAACAGACGATAAGAATGCTAAAAGATAAAAATAAATAATATGTAAAGATAACACTGAGGATGAAAGATATAAAATGTGCACGTTCAGATAGGAAATATGTGCAATCCAAGACAGAAAAAGGACAAAGAAAAAAAAAATACAGTACATATATATAGAGAGTATATACAATATACTGTATATATAAAGGCAGAAGGGCTTTCAGCCTGATGTATACAGTGGTTTATTCCACTGGGGTGAGCTTTGTGCCTTGTACTTTAGTCATTGATTAACTGTTCATCAGTTAACCAATGTTCCCTGTATGTGTATTAAAGCTCTGTGTGAAGATGGGAGCCAACTGATCAGCATAGGCCTTCAGGCAGGAGGGGGTGTCACTCTGTCTGGCCCTGGTGCCTTCCTGATCTTTTGTTTTGCTGAAAGGATTCAGACATCTCTGTCAGAGGCTGTCAGGGGTGGGGGGCTTGGGGGAGAGAGGTGATCAACTGCTGATTGTGTGTCTGAGGTGAGGCGGGTGAGGGGTGTCGAGTTTTGCCTCTCAAATCTGCAGTAAAACGCACCCAGGTTGTCTGCCGGGTGATGGTCTTCCACAGCAGAGGGGGGATGGTTTCCTGTAGCCAGTGGTGTCCTTTAGACTTCTCCACACAATAGACAGGTCATTAGCTGAGACCTGATTTTTCAGTTTCTCAGAGCAGCTTTGCTTTGCTAGTCTGATGTCCCTTGTCAATGTGTTACTAACCTGGCTGTACATGGTACTGTCCCACTCCTTAATGGCTTTATTCTATCATAAAGCCACGTCCGGTTCTTTCAAACCAGGAACTCAGAGGGACGACTCAGACCACTTGGATATATAAAAAATATAACCGTGCTGGTTTATTCAAAGAGTCACAGGCAAGAATTAACATTACACGTCCAGGCATCTTCCACCCCCAAAGCTGCTCGCAGGCAGCCCGGAAGAAGAAAGACCCTGAACCCAAGATCTCTATACAATTTAATCACTTCGTTGGGCTAG